GTAACTCAAGGAAAATGGAAACAGATGAGGCTCAAGATATGTCCCAGGTTTCAGGTGAGGTCCCTACTTCTACAAAGAAAATACTAAATTCCTGCTCATCTTTCTAGCACAGTACAATATTTTCCTTGTCAATATAATTGCTTTGGGTCTTTTTCAAAACCAAAGTGGGAATTGAGATATAATTAATGATACCACTTGATATCAAGCCCAGTGGTGCATGGATTTTTTAAAAGGGACTGTGTAAATAAAAAAGGCAAGGGAATATAGAAGCATAGATGTAATTTTGCATTAAACCTGTGGTAGTGTATCCCTAAAGCATGGTCAGGTGCACATTTACACCATTTCTTTTGGGACCAATATTCCTATTGTTACAAAATAAATATAGAACAAACTAAATTCACCAGGTGGGAGAGGGCAAATACCAATGAAAAACAAACTGTATTTACCATATAGGGTTATTTGACTTTTTCCAAAGCATTCAGTTTTACTTATACATGTTTAAAAACAGAAAGGAAAAAAAAAAAGGGGTCAAAAGAACAAGAAGAAAAAAGAAAATGAGAACCGATTGGCATGAGACTTTGTGCTTGTAATTGTTTTTGTCCAAGATGATATTTTGAAATATGTTTAAATGGCAGAGAATTTGGGTTTCTAAAATTTGCTTCGTAGTCACATGAATAAGACTTTGCAGTCTTACTCAGTAATATGTCATATTGCTATTCTTTGGGGGTATTCTTAACTTCCTTGGAAATTGGTTTCTTAAAAAATTGGCTTAGCAAGATAATACATATTCATATTGTTGTGTCTCTGCAGTTGAAAAAGGCCAAGTTACTCTTTCCCAGTTTCCCTAATATGTTGGCAGCTGCAACGGTTGATAGCTTTCAGTTTTCACTTTTAGTGTTCAGCCTGGAACATGACAGTCCCATCACTGAGCCCACTCACAGCAGACACCTGGGCGTGCAGCTCTTGCTTCAGAGGCAGCTCTTGGTCATTGCTGCCTCAGGATCCGGGGGGTCCAGCTACAGGAGGTAGCCGGTAAAGGTCTGGGCACAGTGTGGGTGACTGTGTTACAGGATTTTTATGAAATACATGAATACTGTTTCCTTTCCCTCTCTCTTTTGTTATTTTTTTGCCTCCATTCTAAAAATTTTTGAAAAGTTTTGTCAAAAATTGGAACCCAGAACTTTCAATAACATCTGAGAAATAAAAATCAAACACATTTTCTATCTAAAAGAGCAACAGTATAATAATCTTTCATGCCAACAGAAGATTATCTGTTATGTTTATTATAGGGAAGTAATTTCTAGTTAGCCCTGTAGAGACATGTTGCGCTCGCTCCTGAGGTAACAAATTTGGAACTGTAACTGGATAAACTTACACATCACTGCTTTGCTACATGTTGAACCAATTTGTAAATGAAATAAAATCATTCTTATACATGCGGTTCCTGGAGCATTTGTGGCCTAAGAAGAAAAAGCAGTGGGGTTTTTGTTATTTATTCACTTTGGATCTGCTTGGAGCAATGAGAAGCACCACAATTTGAGTCCAGCTCCTCTGCCTGCTGCAGAAACCCTTCCCTGCTTGCAGGAACTCTTTCAGGCAGGAGTGCTGCTCTCCTCTTCCTCTGCAGCAGCACAGGCTACCCTGGCTGCCCCCACCTAACCGTTGTGGTATTCTTCACAACTGTGTGAATTTGAGCTCCACACCTGCTAGTTCTTACTAGAGCATTGGTTGTTTTTCTTTTGACATGAAGAATAGCAGCAGGGGAGATGCTGCCTTGAGTCAAGGATTGGATTGGTAGAGCAAACACTTTGCATTCCTTGTAGTCTGCCTCTCCTGTTCAGAGGGAAATCTTATAGGGAGCTTTGCCATTTTGAATACTTATATATATGTAAATATATACGTAATAAATGTATATCTATAATTTGTAGTTCTTAAAGTTTTCTGTAGCTGAACCACTGTAGTTTTTTTGCTATGCCTTTTAGCTTTTCTAGCATATTATGCAATAGTACTATTCTATGATGAGAGAGGGTTTTCTTGAAAAAGAAAAGTTACCTTTGATAAGAGGGAGAACTACACAAACAGATCAAAATCTGCTTTGAACTGTCCTGCTGTTTATGTCAGTGAGCATCTGGTACTTTCTGTGAGCAAAGGCTGTGACTTGTACTGGGTTGTTAGCTGAATTTATGGCCAAAGAAAGAACTTCCTAATTTACTTTCATTTATGGTAAGTGTTATTGTGGGAACTCACCTTCTGGAAATGGGAGTTTGTCAGATTACGTTCCACAGATACGAGCTCTTCATAAGCTCTTACTAAACCTCAAAAGTAGAGGATCTGAAGATACAGGGACGTTACCTACTTCTTTCTCATAGGCTGGTGAATGCAGAAAGGAATTCTTTCCCCTTGTATTTTCCTGGGTTTCTACATGCTTCTGGGATGCTTCCTACGTGAGGGAGCTCTGCTATATGTTGGCAACCAATAAAACAATTGCATTGTTTCAGGAGTGGAAGATTGTCCTGTCAACTGTAAAACAGTTTTTTATTTCTCCTATTTTATGAGTATTGCTCACCAGATGTAGCTGCCTCTCTGGGTCTATGGAATTAGGGGACTTGATTCACTAGCACACTTGTTTGTGTGTTTAAAAAATATAAATTAAAGAATAAATTTGGTTTAGTTTTTCTTTGGGGCTTTTTGTTTTGTTTTTCAGCCCAGAAATAAAGAAGGTCTCTAGAAACAGTTACCCCAGCTTAAACTTGGTGTTTTGCAGCCATGTGCTTTCGGCAGCTGCCACTGACTCAGGTGGCAGCAGCCAACCAGGCCAGGAGAGTATAAAACTAATGTGAATGAGCCAAACCCTGTGTGCATTCCCAGGCATTCCCACCTCGGGGAATCCAGGCATGGCTGACTCCTAGAGGAACTGAAATACTGTGTGACTAGCATAGAGTTCACACTTTTTATTTTTCTCCTGAAAGTGATATTTCATGAGACAAGCAGTTGCAGTTCTGAAATGAGGAGAGAGCTGACATACATTTAACCAAATGGTATCCGGCACCCATAGAAGAGAGTCAGAAAACACAGATAATATCTCGCTTAACAAGCAGTATTTTTCCTGCTTTTTTTTTTTTCTCTTTTTTTTTTTTTTTTTCTCTTTTTTTTTTCAGTTCTAGGGCCTAACAGTTAAGGAAGGTGAAAAAACAGTACAAATGTTTCCACATCTAACATTAAGAGATCTCCTAGAACAAACCAGGCTGTGCTGCACTCTGCAAAAGCAGGAAGAAGAAACCCTCAATATTAAATACACACACACCCAACATTAGTTTGTGAAAGAGTAGGGAATGAGATTTCTATAAGACATCCTGCCTTAGCTTTCTTTTCAACAGTAGTAGCACACCAGCAGGACCATTCTGGCATGAACTGAATCATTCTCAGAGCTGGATATACATGTTAAAGGACCACCAGGCTAAGGACTTTGGCAGAAATAAAGGACACTAAAACTTTATTGAACTGGGCAGGTTTTTCTCCTTCTCTCTTTCCTTCTGGCTTCAAGTATATTTCTAGGGTAGAGGTGAGGAAAGTAAAATAGAGAGAAGTTAAAAGTCTTGCCAGGCATCACTGATAGGTTAGGCTCTTTGATTATTTTTATACAGAGATGGCAGTGTTGAAAATCTGGGACCATCTTACAGAGATGCAGATTGAAATAAAGGAATATTTGATACAACCTGCAGTTGTAATTCTTTCTATTTATGACTTAACCAAGAGCAACACGAATCAGTGGTAGCACCAGAAACAGAACTTCAATTCCACAGTTAATGTGGCTTTTTATAATAATAATTTTAAAAAAAACCCACCCCTTCCACCCCAAGATTAGATTCTAATTTTTTATGCCTCACTTCTTAAGCTACTTTTCTCTGTTATGTGACTTCTGAATAATTTTCCCCAGTACTGGTCACTAGGTATTGGGGTGGCGTTTAGCTCCTTGTTCTTTGGCTGGTTGTTGTTCTGGGCATGTCTGTTTGAAATTAAAATGGAAAGCATTCCCACCTTTCCCCACTCCCCTTCCATTTCTAAATTCAGTGGAAAAAGAATGTTGTTGAGATTGTGCATGAGTAAGATTGCCATGCTGTAATGAATTTACCATGGTGTAATGATTTAGATGTAGTTAAGGCATGAAATACAAATACGATGCTCTAGAATCCAAGAGACAGAGCTCAATAAATGGATCTATTTTAAATCCACTATTTTTGTCCTGTCTTTTCGCATATATGGATTTCTCAATCATGTGTAACAAGAAGAAATCAAATTATATTAAATGGGTTATTAAAGACAAGTTTACTAAGTTTTCTTAACTGCACTCTCCTGCAAAGAGGGAAACAGACCTGATCTCCAGCTTCTGCCCCACCAATTCCATGAGGCGAGTCCAGTTCATACCACCTGGGCAAACTGCTGTTAATTTAACAAGTAGAAGATTGATACCCATTTAGTAAACCAGAGAGTTCACCACTGCAAATGTACTCTTCTGCTAACAGGTTTCTATTCCAAAAAGACTGCCCTGACTTCAAAGAATCCTGCCTAGACTACATATTGTAGGATGCCTAATAACACACTTATAAAGATATTGTTTTGGTTTTTGTCTGTTTTCCCATAGTTTTGATATTGTGAGTTTATATTGGTTTGTAGTCAAAAACAGTCTTCAGCTTTTTAGGATAATTGTTCTTCTCAGCCTAGACTCAGTCAAAGCATCAATGTCCATTATTGTAACTGGGAGTGCTGCTTCATCCTTAGAAGATGCAGGTAGCTTTGGATTACTGTTACTTTTTAAGGAATTTCCTTAACTTATGTGTAATGTGAAGAGAGCTGCCAGGGTGTTGCTTGCCTTCCAATTAAACCTCTGGGTTTTTTTGTTTGGTTTTTTTTGTTTGTTTGTTTGGTTTTTTTGTTTGTTTGGTTTTTTTGTTTGTTTGGTTGGTTGGTTGGTTTTTTTTTTGTTGTTGTTGTTTTTTTATTATTATTTTGTGTGGTGCAAAATGTGTTGAACAAACTGAAAGACTTCAGCTGTCTCTCCTCATTTGTGCATCTTATCTGTAAGAGATACCTCAGCTTGGCAGGTTAGGACTTGCAATGTAAAGTTGCTGTCAGTTCTGTAAATTCCCTACATCCCAGAAATCTGAATAAATAATTAAATAAGTAGCTAAATAGTGAATGGAAAAATATTTTTAATTAACTTACTTCCTGCTTTTATTTTTCTTTGCTGTAAAATTCATGCGCCCTCTTGTCCATTTATGCAATCTGCCTTTGCTCTTGCACTGATATCCAGTGGGTGTTATCTTGCCCATTTAAGAATATACCACAGAACCTGGGTATGAGAGGGACCTTATTAAATCATCTAGTTAGTCCTCCTGCCAGTGCAGGACTGTTTCTTCAAAACCCTGGAGTCCTCTGGCTGCAGTTTGGGATAGTTCACTAGATACAACTCTCAAAACTCTTGTTCAGCAATTATTCCACAGTTTCATAGGTGTGTCATTAAGAAATGCAGTCACATACTAATTTAATTCATATAAACATAAGTCTGTGCCAACAACAGATTTGGAAGATGACTTAAAACTACCTGTCATTTCTCCCCATCATGATCAGTATAGATGGGAAAACACAGTGCTTTGTCTTGAATGTTACTGTGTTATATGGATCCATCCAGGAGGCAGGGAGGAAATCATTCACTTCATTCAGATCAAGTCCATAAGTGGCACCATTAAACCTCTGTAACTAAAGTAAGGTATACTTGGTTTAGTTTTTTCCATTTCTGGTATGTGTTTTAAGGTTTAATTGATGTTTGTGTATTAATGAGGGAATTCTCATTAGGAAAAAACCCACTAGTTTGCTAAAGCTTTGTGCCATAAAATTACTGCCCTTACCGGTGTGCCAATTGCCACAGGATGCCTGACAGATTTCATCAATGTAATTTGGTAACATCTCCATTTTCAAGACAAGGGTCTTACGTGAACATTACTGCATTCAAATTCCGCTCTGGGCCTGTGCTGTTCTTTGCTATTAATGCAAAGGCCAGTCTTTTAGTAATAGTCAATGAAACTAATCACTTAGATAATTCCTTCAGCAGATGTTTCAAAGGCATGCTTTTGTTAGAGGTGTATGCAGTCATTTTAAAAGTTCTACAAGACAGTGATAGTACTGTGGGCAGGAGATGTATGCTGTTACTGAGGCCTGAATCAAGAAACCTCACAATTTCTGGAAGCACAATACGTAGCAAGAGAGTTATTTTTTCTTATTGTATTGTGTTTGGCACTAAAATAGTTCCACAATACCTATAATATTTTAAAGCACCAAACTGTTTACCTCTGCAAAACCTTGTTTACTCAAGATATTGGGGTTTCTTTCCTATTTACAAATAGAAGACAATAAAATCCTTGAAGTCTTCTAATTGTACATGTTTAAGAAGTCTTGGTACCTACAGCACTTCACTACTTGTAGGCACAAGAACCTGGCAGAGCTTGATCTGGGGGTATTAGTGAAGCTTGCTGGCATTGTAGCTGAATTTTCGGTTGAAGATAAAACTTTATTTTTGAGTTTGTTCATTTGGAGCCCCAGAATACCTGTGGGTTAGACTTCACTATGTCTTTGAAGCAAATACAGATGTGTTCTCAAGGAGAACTTGCGGAAGAAAGATTTTTTTACCAAAATGTCTATTTGATAACCTTTATAATCTGTCAGTCTGTGTTGGCTAAATTGGATCTTTTGAGCATAGCAGCTGGAAAGCATACATATCTCACAAGTTTCCAAAATGGTAAGGCTAATAACTGTGTATCCATACTCAGTAAATTTGTCAGAGACATTGATATACATTCTTTTTAAAAATATTATTCCCCTGTATTCTTAAGAAGTTTTCTTTGTGGGAGAGTGGGGTTTGGTCCTAAGAATATCATGCTTTAGTAGTATTTAGGGTTTTTTTAAGTTTTATTTGGTTTGTGGTTTGTCTTATTGTATTATTTAAAAATGAGGCTACTCTGACAATAACAATCTAACTGATGCTTTCCTCACTATTAGGAAAAGAAAGTCCTCCAACTAGTGATGTCCCTGATGATCCAGATGAACCTATGCCTATACCAGAGGACCTTTCAACTAGTACTGGAGGTCAGCAGAGTTCTAAGAATGACAGAATCTTGGGTAAGATAACAAATACACTCTGATAAGAAATACTAGAAAATAATATAGCAATGATGTTAAATTACTTTTTCACAAGCTGACAAACAAGCAGTTCCTGTGCCTTTCCATCTTCTTCAGGTGCTTAGTGTTTTTTGTGCATCCTTTTTCTTTGGGAAAGGCATCTTCATCCACAGAGAACTTATAAAGATCCTACTGTTTATCTTCTTACCATGACTGTTGCTTGATATTCTCCCCAGGAAAGAGAGTTTTCATTCTGTGTAGGAAATGGAATGAAATATGTGGTCCCAGGTCAAAATTATATGAAGTTAGACTTGATAAAAATTCAATAAATGCTAAGGTATTTTTGTTATTATTTTTATTCTTAATTTGAGTGTTGTCTTGAATGTTACTGTGTTATCTGCTATTCAGATTTCTTCAGAAATGCATATTAGAGCATACATAGTATTTATATATTTGAGATTCTAATATCTGATCTCCATTTATCTTTGATTTTTTACCTGGGAGAACTGTAGAAAACACTTATCTTTTGGATAAAAATCCACACTTGATAAAGTCTGTTGGGTTAAAAATTTTGTCCAGAGGTGATTGTGCAAAATGCTGATTATTCTTAGGGTTCCCCAACTCACATCAAGGACTAGCAATACTGATTACTTCTGTATGCACCAGCTCCCACATAGTACACTAAAAGGACTAAATATTACTTGAGCACTGTGCCTGTTTACTAGTAAGAAAAAAAAAGGAAAAGAGGGAAAAAAAGCACAGTGACTCCCAGAATGCTTTGATAAATGCCCTATATGATAAAAATATTTCTGTAAAGGGATGACTATCAAAGTACACGTATTTACCCACAAATAAAAGTATTGATCATTATTCTTACATTATTGTAAGAGTAAGGGTCAGGGTGGACAATTTACAGAAAGATTGCAAGCGCCTTTAAATATTAATTATTGAAGGATATCCAGTAAAGGATACTAGGTGGAAAGGAAGGCACAGAAGGAAAAATAATTTAAAATAAAATAATTCAACATAATACAGTAGGATGGTGTCAGCATTAGGAATAGAACCTACTCCCAAACTCCAGCACTAGCTAGTAGTGAGTGCATCATTTTATGCATCTTCATTTTATTTACCATTTGATCCCCTCTTATCAAAAATGTGAGCAAAAACTTCAGCTCCTAAGTGCATATTGGCATACTTTATAAAAAAAATAATATTTAAAAGATACTTTTAAACAATATGATCATTTACTAAATGATTTATTTTTCAGTCCAAAGATCTTTGGACAAAATCTTTCATTAACTACTTGTCTATCTATTCGGTAAACTCCTTTCTCCCACAGTAACTAACCCAACACAATATTTGAGTCTTGAGTCAAAAAAATGAAATTTTTAAATTCTTTGCTCAAACCCAAACACAATTTTTCATTGTACTGAATTTTCTTTAATATGCACATGAATATTGTGAAGACCCAGCAAAACTGAACTTTATATTTGCTGATGATGTAATGATTCTGCCAACAGTTCAGTCATATATCAACATGTACACGTATTCTAAATATGATAAGTTCCATCTGTTATTCTCATTACTCAGCAATAAATTAGATTTTCCATGTCCTGACATTAACAATTTTTATATAGCCACTTTCTCTACTCATAGGTCTTTTATTTACAAGGGTTACATCTTGTAGTGAGACATTTACCATAGCCAACAGAAAGAAAGACGATTCACAATACTCTGTTTTACAGATGATCTGTAGGTGTCAGCTCCAGTGCTTGCAATGTTTGTCTTTTCTGTAAAGCTGCATACACTTTTACCTCTTCTATTGTTCCTTTTTGCTAGCTCCCTGAAAACTGTATACTAAAAAAAATTAATTCTCCCTTTTTACAAAAAGGATGTGAACCAGGCATATCAGAAGACATATGATTGCTGTGCACATTCTGGATCTTCATCAAAAGAAAATCTCTTAGCAATAAAATAATACTTTAAGAGTGGTGCTTGACCTACATGATCCTATAGGTGTATTAGGGGTGAAGGGGCATTCCTATGTAGGCAGTGGCAGTGTAGGCAGGCTTGGTGTTTAGTACAGCACTGTCATTGCCAAGTCCCAAGATCTGTTCCTCACTGCTATTTATCACAACACTTAGATAGACAAGAAAAAGTAGTTTGAAGATTGAAAGATGGAGAGGAGAGCATTGTAAAGACCCACTGATGTTATCTGTGTGCATCTGGCAGGTGGGAGCTGGACTGTGGCCTGTGATAACCAACAGGCCCTGCATGAGCAGATGTGGCCAGACAAGAATTTCTCTCTGTATCACTTTCCTAATGTCCCATCTATTTCTTCCATCGAAAGGAAACTCCCTAGCATTTGGATATTTATTTATTTATTTCAGATTGGTTTACAGTGTATTCAACTTAACCTGTAACATCCTGAGAGATCAGCTGTCTATACAGCATACACCAAGGAATTTGAGTTAGACATTTAATGAAGTCCTCTAAATTCTGGAGGACCTTTTTGTACACATAGGGCTATAGAGATAACAATGGTAATTGTTAAATGAAAAGGATAAATATTTACCTCATCCTACTAAAATTAGGTGAGAAATCTTTTTTTTAGTTTTATTCAGCCTGTGGGACAGAATTGTTCAAGTGACAGCTTGCATACTCAGATTTGTAGTAACATTTAATGAAATAACTTTTAACCCTGGAGTCAAAAGTTTAATTACCTTTCTCATCAGTTTAGTGTTTCAAAGGTGGAAGATTACAGGAAATAAGCTATTTTTAGAAAAGAAAGATAGGCTTTACTCTTCCATGTGTTTTTACAAATCTCCTTTTGTGCTTCTTCCAAACATGTACTGAGATTTTAATGTGGTGCTACAAAGCTGATAGAAACATTTGAAATATTTCTCCTGCTATGAGAATGAAGACGTTGAGGTCCTCTACTTGCCAGATTTTATTGGTTGCCTTTAGTTTTTCAATTATCATTTAAAATTACTATAGAGGGTGCAAATTTCATAAAGAAAGTACCCAGAGGATCATGAAATATGTGTTGGCTTGTGTCCCCAGGCAGGGGGGATGCTCAAAGCATGGGTTTCTTCTGACCAATGCAATAATGATCAACGGGTGTGAAAGGGTAATTTACGGAAGTAAAGTCATCAACAGTTTCTATTAATAACCCCAAGTAGCACAGCAAAGCAGGAACATATTGGAAGAGGTGTTCTGGTCACCATCAAGGTTCTTCATTTCCTTGATGAGCTTACTATGATTTTAATGTTGCAACCCCCAGAAAGCCACTATGTGTTGAGCAGCTTCCTTCTGCATGCTTAATTTCTGCTGCTCTGTCCACTAGGTTGTCTTCCTTCCTTGTCCTATTCTTCACCCAAAATTTACTTCTCAGGCTGACCTGGTACCTAAAATATTTTATTATTTTCCTCTTGCTCTTTTCACCCATGTGCTCTACAGATAGTTTTTCTAGAAAACACAGTGAAGATTTTCAGCAAAGTGTGAGATTTTCACTGCTCTTTAAGGCTCTAAAGACCTTATTTTATCATCCTTCCTAAATATTGTTTTGAAGGTCCATTCCATTAATAATTAGTGCTTTGCAGCCTGTTTTGAACAGGTCTATTTCCCATGGTACCCTACTAGAAATATAATTTGATAATTCTCAGTTTCCGCAAGTCTCAGATTAAACATGTGCACCTTTTGTGGATGATCAGTACTGAACATCCTGTGTGTGGTAAACAGTTGCAATTTAGGGCTGTTTGTGCTCTGAGACTGCATCCTAATTCAAGCCATGTGTGGGAAGTGAATGAGTCAGTCATCTGTAGATCAGACCCTACTTCATGGATAAAGCCTTTGCTGCAGTGGTGGCATTTGTCTAGAAAGGTAGGCAGTGCCTTCCTTTATCCATAACTGCCCATTCCATAGGTGGTCATCACTGGATAAAAAAAGCCATCTCAAAGTGTGTTAGCAGCCTCAGAAAGAGGCTATGGGCTCATCATTTCTGCATAGATAACTGTCTGGCGCTGGAGATGACCATATAAACTTTTAAGACAGAAGTCAAAAGTTACCACTGCAGTCACATACTACACTCTGGGCCTGCAACAAATAATGTATAGACATCTTTTTTTAAGAGGTGGGGAGAATTCATCTCACAAAATTGGGTTGAAATTCATACAATTGACAAAGTATACCAAAAGTAACCAGTCAGGGTGATCATAGACATCAGTAGAAAACATTTATAAAGCTATAAAGTCTATTTGTTCAAAACAAATTAGTATGGGAAGAGACATTAAAAGAAAGATTTTTTTTTTTTTTACATTTTTATCTCCCAGTGGGAAATACCAAGTGATGATGTTGTGTCCCTCCCACAACTCAGTTATTGAAGCAGAAGCCTGTGTAGCTGCAGGCTTCAGTGCCTGCATCACTGGGACCCTTGCATTGCCTTCACACCTTGGGGTCCTCACTCTCAGTTACAACCCTTCAGAGGTTGTAACCTGCATGACGAGCAACTTACCGATGCAGGCAAGTGTCCCCTCTCTGATCAGCTTTGATGCTTTGTTTCCTTAAAAGGAGCTCAACCATTTGAGACCATGGGCACAAGCATTGCTGGGGGGCCACCAGGCAACCACAACCATTGCCATTACATAAATCTAGTGCAACTCACATACAGCTGGGTGGAGACACAGTAGAAGTGTGGAAAGGCTGCAGATGGAGGGGAAAAGCAAGGAAAGACAAAAGGGGAAGTGCCCCACCCCAGCTTGCAAAATCAGTCCTGTGGTTCAGACAGGTCCAGCTCACTGCTGCCCTGGTAATTCTGCTGGGCAGGGAAAAGGGCTAAAGAAAAAGACTGCTGGAGCTAAATATCATTGCACACTCCTCCTTGTGGGTGCTCAGTGGCTGTGAAGGCAGTGTCTTGTGTATGAATAATAAAATGTGGCATGTGTGTGCCTGGAAATTCAGAGAACTAAACTCCAAGACCAGAAGTAACCTGGAGGGCTGTG